CCCCCCCCCGCCTCCGTGCTTGAGGCGCCGGCTCCAGCTGGTGCCTCCGCTCCCAGCATCCCAGCATCCCAGCATCCCAGCATCCCAGCATCCCAGCATCCCAGCATCCCAGCATCCCAGCATCCCAGCATCCCAGCATCCCAGCATCCCAGCATCCCAGCATCCCAGCATCCCAGCATCCCAGCATCCCAGCATCCCAGCATCCCAGCATCCCAGCATCCCGGCATCCCAGCATCCCAGCATCCCGGCATCCCAGCATCCCAGCATCCCGGCATCCCAGCATCCCAGCATCCCGGCATCCCAGCATCCCAGCATCCCGGCATCCCAGCATCCCAGCATCCCGGCATCCCAGCATCCCAGCATCCCGGCATCCCAGCATCCCTGCATCCCGGCATCCCGGCATCCCAGCATCCCCGCATCCCAGCATCCCCGCATCCCAGCATCCCCGCATCCCAGCATCCCAGCATCCCAGCATCCTGGCATCCCCACGCGGTGGGGGCTGGAAGGGACCTCTGGAGATCCAACCAGGCATCTGAAGGGCTTGGCCCTCAGGGAGCAGAGCTGGAAGATAAAAGCCTAAAGCACGAGCCCCATTCACCCAGACGTGAGGGAGGTGGGAGGTTCCCAGCCAGGTGACAGGGTTCTCGTTGCCTGCTGGGCCCCTGTGGGACCTCCCAGTGCATCCCCCACGGCACAGCCCCCTTCTGCAGAAGCTGCAGTAGAATCTCTCTTTAAAGAGATCAGTACATCCACCAGCAATTACCAGTCAGAGCCAGAAGCAAGAGGGGAATGTTCTGCAGAGGGAAGCAGGAGGATCACCCAACCAGCCCCCCAGCATTTTCTGACCACAGCTGAACTCATCTCAACCCCAGTGCCCAGGGCCAGGTTTATGTAAGAGTGTAATCTCCTGCTGTGAATGACTTCTTGTGTTCAAACAATACAACACTTTTTATATATTTGGGATTATGGATTTGAAAATCCTCTTGTCGAGTTCAGACCTTGATTAGAAATGGACCCAAGGCCTTCCCTCTGGTTTTATTCATCTGTGAACTTGCATCTTTAAACCAGCAACTTGTCATCGTTGTTACTAAAATTAGTTTGGTGTAACTGCTTTATAAAATCAACCTTTTGCTAGGGAAAAAAAGTCAAAGACAGGTTATGTGGTTTGAAGGTGAGCAAGGGGCCCTCAGGAGAGGCTGCTGCCCAGCCCGGGTGATGGCAGCTCCTGTCCCCAGGGTTCCCCTCAGTGTGGAAAGCACCATGGAGCAAACACCGACCAGGCTTCAGCCCAGGACTGAGCCCAGAGCAGGGCAGCAGGGAGCCCTGCTGAGCCCACAGCCGTGTCCACTCCCATGGGAATGGGGACAGGCCCTGTCCCCATCTCCCCAGGAACCTGCCTGCCTGACTTCTCCACTCCAAAAAGATATTGAAACCATTTTAGGCATTTCCTGGTGCCATCTATTGGTTACATGACCAATTCTCAACAACTCACACTTTCCCAAGCCAGCACCTCGTGCACCAACTCTGTCACCAACCGTTTTCTCCGTGACCTTGAACACAGGAAGTCCCTGTCTGAGCTGTCCTTCGGGAAGAGCACCTGGAATTTCAGAGACACTGGGACACAACAGGGATTTGAAAGTTGGTGAGGTCCACTGTTAGAGCCACAGCAATTCAAAGCCATTCCAGAAACAGGGAGGGGTGGATGTGGCAGGGCGTTTGGTTGCAGGGGTCTGCAAACCCAGGATACATGCCAGAGGGATGCAGCTACAAACTCTACCCACTAGTGACAAACCATGGGCACATATGGAATCATCCCAGTTTGAACAGTGTTAAAAATAGGCAGCTGCTGCTTTCCTGATGAGGAGCCAGCCCTGAGGAGCATGCAGGGAAGCAGTGGCTGAAGGGATGTCACCTGCTCTGAGCACCACTGAAGCAGAGCAAAACCTGGCACACACAGGGACACGGGTCAGAAATGCAGGAGATCCTCAGCCTGGTGGCAGCTTCCAGGACTGGACCATTGGTCTGTGAGGGGAGGGTTTGCAGGGCAGTACAGCCTTGGAGACAGAAGGATTTTCCACTGGATTTGAAATGTTCCCAGCAGAAGCCACAGCCCGTTTCACAGTTTTGTGAGGGAAAACAAAACAAAACAAACTACAGGCCGAGAGAGCCCAGCAAAAAGCCAAACTCTGAGAGACTGCAAAGGTCAATAAAACTGGGCAAGGCTGGCAAGAGAGCAGTGAGCCAGTGTGACAAACCTGGGCTGCAGAGACAACCTCTCCTCAAGGAGGTTTTCTGCCCCTTCACTGCTAACCCAAGGGCTGAGTGCCTTGACTCTTGTGCCCCTCTTTGGGGCAGGATCTGGAGGTCAGGGAGGGGGTGCCCTGGCACTGGCCAGGACCTGGTTAAGAGCCCTTACAATGTCACATTCAGTTAACATTCAGAAAAATAAAGTTTAAAGTTGAGAAAGGAATTGCATTCTTAAGAGCAGCCACACCTCTTTCCGCAGTAAACTTGCCTCGCCCCCTTTATCCCAGCGGGGTAAGAAGAGAAAAGGCAACCCCAGGGTTGTTAGGACATCAAGCAAGGAAGGTCCCAAGCATCTTGGAGCCCCAGCCCTGTGACCCCCAGCAGCTCCCACACTCCCACCCTCCTCCCGCGAGGCAAAGCGGGGGGGTTGCAGATTGCTCTCTGCGAGCAGAAATGCCCTTTTAGAACCCCTTTCTTGTGGGCTTTGCTCTCGGAGCTCCTTGGTGTGCCTGTGAGCTCCTCCCCCCCTGGGGCCGGGGCCCACCGGGGCTGCATCTCCTGCCACCACATCCTGTTTTTGACACCGCCCTGAGCCTGAGGTGCTGTCAGCTTGTGCAGCCCCAGCCTGGGAGACCATCGCTTGTCTGGGCTTTCTTGAGGCCTTTCTTAAGCTTGTCCAGGCTCATTCGGCCTCTCCAAACTTAAAAGCAAGCACCTGTCTCCCAGGGTATGTCAAATTGAGCTCCCACACCAAAAGGAATCACTGCTTTGGACCATAAAGCTGCACCCATTTCCACCATCAACACAGTCCTAGGAAGTAAAGTTCATACAGCGTTCAAAATACCTTTTTCCTCTCTATAAAACAAGAGACCAAGGCACCCTGCCCAGCCCCAGCTCTGCCACTGTCCTGACTGCAAAATGTGGCTGAGTTTAAAGTCCCTTTCTGAGTGGTGGAGGTCTTGGTTCTCTTGGAGACACTAAGACAACCTTCACCAGCACTTCTGTGCCCACAGTTGCTTTTGGACACCCTTTAACTGCCTTTAACTCCAGCTTGCCCAAACAAAAGTAATCAGGTGTTCACCTCAGCAGCACAGACAGAACATCGTTCCCATATCTAAAACCACACCAAGCTGCTCTCCTGACCACCCCCAGCTCTCCCAGAGACTTGCTGTACTAGCACCTAGTTAATCCTTTTAAGACAAATGACAGACACCCGTACAGATTCTGCTGGTTTAGCAACATTCATTGATTAGAGAAGCATTGGGAACAGGTTGTTTTTATTTGGGGTTCATCTCTGAGGGAAGCTACTGGGCTAAGCCTGAGGTTTCTGACAAGACAGGAAGCCCTGCAGCAGCAGAACCTGAGCAGTAAACAAATGCAGGCACTGAGTCACACAAGTATTGACGTTATGGTTTAAATTCTTCCAATTGCCTTTGAAAAACACAATCAGGTGGCTCGGGCTGAAGGAACAGCCTGATTTTGTGCTGCCTGAGAGGGGAGTAAAATTCTTCTTTTTCTGCACATTTAGCCCCCTATGCATTAAATCACTCATATAAGCTACCAAATCAGTCCCACTGCCAACGACCCTCCTGCCCAGGGGCTGCATCTCCTGCCACCCCCGGGCTGCAGAGGGGCTGGGTCTCTGGCACAGCCCCCCAAAGGGGTCCCCTGGGTGCCACCTGCCACCAGGTCCTGCAGTGACCCTAGGGGCACCAGCTTCCCCTGCAGTGGCCCAGCAGAGGGGCTGGGGCTGAGGGCTGGAGCAGCATCTCCAGGCCATGTCTTTGCCCTGGCAGCCCCATGGGGGACTGGCCAGCACGTGTCCCAGTGGCCAGGCAGGTGTGGGGCTGTGGGAAGATCCACCTCAACCACCCACTGCAGAGTGTGGGCAAACCCTGCCCTTCACTTCAGAACCTCCTGCCCAGGGAGCCTCCCTGCTGAAAGCTCTGGGCTCCAACCTCTCTCTAGCAGGGCTGTCACTGCTTTCAGTGGAAGCACTGCCTCTGTTACAGTCCTTTGGAAGATCGAGACTTGGGTAACAGGAAATAAATAGCTAAAAAGTCCATTTGCATTGAATTAAAACCTGTTATTATCACTAGAGGATGCTGAGGGAGTTCTGCAAATGTCCTTTGCATTCCAGAGTCACTGTTCAGGTCAGCGGGCTGGCCCACACTCCGCTCTCATTGACAATTCAAATACTTTTCAAGCCCAGAGTATTTCAAACAGCACCAGTCCCGCTGCAAGGTGGTGTGAGGAGGGGGAGAAGGCAGTGCCACAGGCTTCACTCACCCTGAGCGGGTCCCACCAGCAGTGCCCACACCCGAGGTCACACCCGAGGTCACACCCGAGGTCACACCCGAGGTCACACCCGGCTTCCCTCCTCTTCCACCGCCCGCTGAAGGCCCGGGATGAATTTCGACAGATGCTTTCGCACGCTGGCTCTCCGGCTTTTCCGCGGGAGGGTCCCAAAGCCACAGGCGGAGCCGCTGCCCTCCCAGAGCGGGGACGCGGAGCCGCTGGCGGAGAGGCGGGTGCTCGGGGAGCCGCTGCTGAAGCTGCGGTTCCTGCGCAGGGAGCAGCGCCCGGCAGCGCCGTCCCCATCCCCGGGGAACACGCAGTCGTCCCCCAGGCTGGACTGGCGGCTCAGGCTCCCCGCAGACCAGTCCTCGAAGGCTCCTCCCTGGCAGAAGCTGTCCTCGCTGCCCAGCGTCACGGAGCTGAGCCGGCTGCGGGAGCTGCTCCGGCTGGAGATTGGGTGCCGCAG